CGTGCCGTTCTATTCGATTCGGTTCTTATAAAGTATTTCCTCTAGATAACAAAAGGTATTTGACTGTCTATTTGAGCCCAGATAGCATTATGTTTTGTGCTCCAAATGTAAGCGGATATTTTCCATTGCATGAAATTGTAATAAAATGTAACGATATGGAAAAGATGATTTGGTGTTTGAAAGAAAAGGCTGTTTTGTTCATCCTACCAAAAGCTGCATTTGCTGTGGAAGTTCGAGATTCTTTGGGGATCGATAAAACTTGTTTTTTTTCTTTTGATCCCTTTAAAAAGGATCTAAGGTCCTTGTTTATAACTTTTAACATCAGCTTTTTGACTCAAGAACAGATTAATTTTATCCGCGATCACTATTTACCAATTGAGACATGTTGTGAAATCAATGAACAAGGATGTAAGCAGTTTATGTTAATGACTGCTCCAGTACTCACTAGTCAATTTGTGAGAATATGCTTATCTGATGACGATCCATCTACAGTTTGGGAGGAAGGCACTGACGTAGGACTATCAGCATCAGCAAAAGAAGTTAAAGTAGTGTCATACCGTTCAAAATCCCGATCTGGAGAACTTCCATTGACCAATATAGATATCATGTGTCTGAATAATGGAAATTGGTTGAATGACAATGTAATCAACTTTTATTTAGAATACATGTACAGTAACGATTTAACCGAAAGTGAAAGGGAGAAAACTCACTTATTCAATTCTTTTTTTTTCTCCTGTCTAACTAGAAAAAGGCAAGGTGATACTCCAACTACGAAAGAAGGACGACATGCTTTAGTTAAAACATGGACAAGGAAAGTGGATCTGTTTTCAAAAGATTATATTGTCATTCCTATACACTCCCATCACCATTGGTATTTGGTGATTGCTTGTTTTCCAAGCAATGTAACAGAAGGTGATAGTCAGTCTTCAGAAAGCATGGTAGAGAATTCTGCAAGTGGTTCTAATTTTGATGGATCACAGAGGCAAATGCCATGCATTTGCATCTTCAACTCGGTATATAACCGAGCTCAAGCTGAACGGACAGGTGAAATAGTGAGAGACTATCTAGAAGTAGAATATCTAATAAAAAAAAAAGTAAACAAATCTTTTAAATCGATGAAAATATTTGCGATGTGTTGTCCTCAACAGCCAAATTCATATGATTGTGGAGTCTACGTTTTCAAGAACTTTCAATGCTTCTTTAAACATCCAGCTATAAAGTTAGATGACCCCATGCCAAATTTAGAACATTGGTACCATCCAGCATGCATTTTCAAGAAGAGGCAGGAGATTTTTAGAATTATTTTTGACTCTAAACAACAGTACAAAGCTACACCAACTATTTTTTAATGAATGTATTTTTTGTCTTCATACCTGAAATTAATTTTAGAATAGAATTTTCTCCCCCTTGGGCTATAATTGTTATAAATATATTGCTGTATTTGAAAAATAGTATGTTAAGCTGTAAATAAAAGCACTTAATCAAATGGTACAGGTATTTTATCAAAAACCATATGTTTGCCTTTATTTTATTGTTTTAAGGACATTGATGTTTATGATTGCTGAAAAATTTCCCATGACAAAATTTTACTAATTATTTAGATGCTATTAGATCTCTGTTCTCAATTTTTATTACAATATTCTTGCAGTTCATAATAAATATGCTCTTGTTTTGTGATAGAATATATTTTATCTTCTCTGAGGAAATTACTAAAATTATTCATTGTAATTCATTTATAAAGGAATTGCAATATATGTAAATACAAACTTTTAAAAAATTAGACATCTTCAGACTTTTACTTGTGCATATGATTGAGTTAAATTTTCAAACAAAATGTAAAATCGGAGTTTTGTAATAAGATTACTGCAATGTGGTTAAACACAACATGAAAAATTACATTGGATAAGTAAATTTGATTATGTTTGGATAGAATTGTACGTTTTTTTTTCAATAAAATTTTTATTATTATTCAAATTGTATTTCATTAAATTTTTCTCTGTATGTTTTATGTACTAAATTGCTATTCAATTCTTTATCATTTACAATTTATATTTAATATGTATTGAGTATGAAATAATTACTTTAATGTCATGCTTTATTTATCTTTTGTGTGATTTTAAATCTTGAATTAAATTAAAATTGTCCAGTTTTAAAAACGAGGATTTGTAAGTTTGGTGTAACAGACATAATTGATCAGTACTTTTCAAATAAAGTTTTTGAGTTGTACAATAAAGAATTGCATGCCGTAGGATAATGGAGTCACTGTATGTTGAGCCTCTATCATGCCTTTCTGTTAGATTAGGATCATATAAAGTTTTTTCTTTAAAAAAGAAAACCAAAATGCTACTGTGTACATGTGACTCCAGAAAACATTAAATTCTATGCTCCAAGTATAAGGGGATGCTTCCAATTACATGAGATTGTAATAAAATTCAAATAAATTGTAATGATTTTCTTAATGTAAAATAAAATTCACATATAGTATTTTCATGTAATGTTAGAATGAAATATCACTAAATGGTGTATATTAAAATAACTGTAATTGTTATTTTGAATTGGCTATCAAGCAAGAATTTTCTATGTCCCTGTATGGGAGAAATTTTCTCAACTTGTTCACTTACTGCAGTGATTCTCAACCATTTTTTTGTTGCAGTACACTATCAACAATTTCAAAATTTGGTGGTACACGAACAATAAAATAAGTTTAAAAGAATTTTACTTATCCATAATACACTATGTTAAATAGTTTGATTATAATTTTCGATGTAAAATAAAATGTGTATGACAAAGACAAAAAATTTTTTATTGAGTAATTCATTTAATGTGAAATTTGAGCTTCATGATTTTTGAACATTTCGTTTATATTTGGTAGTAAAAAGAATACCATTTTCATTTCGTCATCTATATTTAAAAGTCTTGATCTTTTTTTCATTTTTAAATTTGTTAAAATCCTGAAAATCCGAATTCGCACAAATAAGATGTAGAAATTTGTAACAATATTTTTAAAGCATTTTTGTATATTATGGGATAATTGCCTCTAATTTTAATTCAAAATGAATTAATTTATTCTTTCAAATGTTTTGAAATTAACTCTATTATTGCAGAGCGAAATTAGTTTTTCCTCTTCATTCAGAGTTAATTCATAAACAGATGTATCCATTATCTTTAATGGATTATTATGAACTCAATCAAATTTTTTTATCTAAATTTGGGAAGTAATGAATAACTCTCTCCTCTAGTATAATCAGTAATAATTTTATGAATAGTTTATTCCTATAAAACAACCAAATGATTCAGTTCTGGATATTTAAAAAAGAAATTTCTCTGAATATCATGAATAATTTCAAAAGATTTGGCGACAAAGTGGTTATAAGAACACTGCCCTACTACATTTTATGGTTTATTCCAAACTATTTATTAAAGCCTATTTCTTAATATGGGATTTGTTTCGTTAACTTATATATATAATAATAATGAAAGAATATTTTCTTCCTTTCAGAAAAAGTAATTTCTAAAAAATTTTCAAACAAAACAGTTTGTAGTAGTGGTAAACCATACTATTATATTTAGAATAATACACAATTTATAGGTGATTCAACTAGAAAAGAAAATACATTTATAACATAGAATGAAGTCCAGTGGATGAGTGGTAGTGCATCATGCCACAGATCTGGGATTCAAATCCCAGGCTGGGCAAGTTTGACTTGGCCTTTCATCCCTTAAGTGGGTCAATAAATGAGTACCAAACTTGCTTGGAAACTGAACACTGGGCGTTTCGCGTCTGACTGACCACTTGACGGAAACATCTGCACATGCACCTCAGTGCCTAAGGTCATGTAAACTGAGGTAGTATACACCACTGAGTTCAGTATAACAAAGAATAATTAAACTGAATTTATAAAAATTATTTCACTTTTTTAAAATGAAAATTACCCAAATAATATAAAACAATTTTAAAAGAGTAACATTGTTTTTTATAAATCAATTTGGTAAAGGTAAAAATCAGAAAAATTTCCTTAATTTACACATCTTTTATAAATTACTTAGGATCATTACTACCTTATAGAATAAATATTATTGCCTTTGTTTTTAATGTGTTGAAATCCATTAATGATTTAATAATAAATAGCAATAATTACCTAACCATAATCTGTTTTAAAATGGAAAATTTAATAAAAGCCATAAAACAAATAAATTTTCGAACTCTTAAAACTTAATGATACATTTTCATTGAAAAAAATAATCCCAATTCAAATCCAATGTTGCTTAAAAAATGAGATTTATGAATTTATTACTGTAAACATAATATATATTTATTTAGAATTACTACAAAATTTTTCACATTTTTCTTCAAAATGTTTAAGAAAGCTACTTAACTTGAATTAATATATATATAGTTACCTTAACATTTAATCTTTTAGAACCAACTCATGATAAATAATATTATTAAAAAAGTTTTATGTTGTATGTAAAAAAATAAATTAAATCGGGGCATAAACAAATATCTACATATGCCCCTAGCAGGAATTAAAATAATATTTTATTAGAACAGAAAATAATTTGTAATTCACTTCAGAAATTGTCAAGTAATAATACTAATAGCTATATTATAAAATATATATTTATTAAGAGTAAGTATACTACTAGTTAAAATAAGTTAACTACGAATGATAAATAAGTACACAAACATGATAAGTAACAACTATAAGAGGCTATACACACTCAACACAAATAAACTAGAACAAGTAATATAAAAAAAAAAAATTTAAGTCAATTTCTACTTAGTTCAACAAAGAGAAAAATTTTATTTTAGTTACTTTTTATTAAATAATTATATAATATAAATATGTGGCAAAATAGAAATTGACTTTCCTCTTTCTCTCTCTCTCTCTTCCAATTTTCCTTTTCATATATGGTGTTGGACAAAAATTTTTGCTTGTTACTAAATTATTCCAATAAAATAGTATGGTAAAAAGAAATCACATTCTCAGAAATTAGGCTATTCCAGGTGGGATTCGAAACCACGTCCTTTGGATTAGAAGTCCAACGCATCATCACAATGAGCGATTTTCCTTTTTATATATGGTGTTTGACTATTATTTTTGTTTATTATTTATTCATTTATCAAAAAAAATTAATGAATTTATCTTTGAAAGAACTGTTTTTATGTTAAGTGTCATCTACTACAAGTTTAAAAAATGTTTTTGTGAATTGAGTGGATGAATAAAAAGTATTTTATCAACTATTGAAAATTTGAACAAGATAAATACATATAGGGAGAGTGTGAACCAATAGTAGTAATTGAATACAAAAACAAAAGTTATACAAAAAAATTAATAAGGTTATTTCCTACTTAATAGGCATACTAGAATAATCCAAAAATATTAGTTGTTGTTATTTATGCCACCTGATCGACAGTAACATTTGATCAAGGTCCACGAAATTCATTGTGGCAAGGTCATTGTTGTACGCCTGTCATTAACCATACCTTTGAACACCACTCAGGTAACAACACAATTTGGCTTGGTTCCGCCCCAATTTTGTGGGAGAACATCCTGGTGGTGGTCAGGGCCTCTCTTCCCCTTCCACCAACCTCATGAGAGGACTTGCGGCTTAACGGCTATTTGAAGTATCCCCATGCCTCGAAGGCACTATACATTTACAAACATCCATGCCTTTTTCAGGATTCTAGCCCAGGCCCTGCGGCATAGCAGTCACTAACCATTATACCGGATGGGCGGCAAAAATATAAGTATATCTATATATATAAAGAAGAAAAGCGACTCACATCAAGATATCTCAGGAACTATTAGACCTGCAGATTTGAATGGCAGGCATGTTCCTTCCATAGTGTTGAAATCTACTAATAAAGGGTTTTGCGTAAATCAAGCCTCAAAGGGGGTGAGAGGGGTTAAAAATCGTTGTATATAAAAGAAATGATCCGCTTTTGAACAGTTTGACCAACAGACTTGAAATTTTTCTGGCATGTTCCTTTCATAGAGAAGACCTGCTAAGAAAGGGTTTTGCAAAAATCGACACCCAATCTCACTCTGTAAAGCAACATGAGGGTTATTGCCAAAGGGCTTCCATAATTTTGTATCTCAGTCAAGTGACTTGGACAACACCTGAGCTGGCATCCCCTCCCTCCAAACTGTCACGCCATGCCAACGTGAGGACTTATCCACTCTATTTTTAACTTGCATTTGGCTACTCTACATGGTGAGTACGTCTCTTAGTTTCAAATACTGTGAAATATATTTCTCCTAAAACATAGCTTTACATATTTCTGATAATTCTCCTTTAATTAGATGGTATACCGGGCGAGGGGCATTTGGTAAATGCTTTTTTAATGAAAAATCGTATTCATATATAGCAGTGATGGAAAAAAATGTTGTAGATGAAATCATGAATAGCAGAATTAATTCAAAACTTTTATCAGTGACTTATAATTTTACTCCCACAATATAATCTTTATTAAACAATTTTCTAAAGGTCTGTTTCAAGAATATGTGAAATATTTAAAACTTATTAAAATATCATTTCCCACCCAATTTCAAGCACTTATATAATAAAGCTTCTCTGGCATATCCACTCCAAACTATCATACCGCCTTTTCTTTTAACCTTACACAAGTTACATGGTAGTGATACAGTATTTCACTTGATTCCTTTTATAATTTATTTTAAATTCCATCTAATATTATCATAGAAAGTTGATGAAATAATAAACATTTTAAAATACGTGATACATACATTTAAGATGGGTTGAATTGTCGAATCGGCCCCTTTCCCGCCAAGTGTTTTTTCGCCAAATCGATAAGTGCGCTAAATCTAGTAACCCTCGAGTGAGGGAGAAGTCGGTTCACAGCGTAAAAACGTGCTAAGTTGGCAGTATTTCAAAATTTGGCGGACTAGTGGCCGATTCAACCAACAACTTCAGATGATTACATAAGATACATTTGAAGCAAGATGCAGTTAATATCACAACACTGTTGATTTACTTAATTAAAAGTTATTTTAAAAATTGGAAAAGTATTTGCCAATCATTTTTCTGAAAAACTTAATTGTATAATTTAGTTTTGGATTTTCTTGAGTTTGATGTAATGTTAGAGGCTGTCTGCTAAAATTAATATGTCAACACATGGTACTTAACACTAATATGTTTATTTCTTGTTTATAGATGCATTTCAATAATTTACCTCCTAATAATTTCATTAAAAATTTCATCTGTTTTCTTAGAAGGAAATGACATTTTAATCAGTTTCTCACAATTTGAAAATGATAAGAAACATTTTTTGATTACAATATATAGATGCAGGAAAATCATGATTATATCTGATATTTTTATCTCATTTTGCATTCTTATTTTTTGTGCTCCATTTTTTGTATTTTGGTACGTTCATGATGTTTTGAATTTTGCACATCAGAAATTCTATGAAGTTGTTTTATGCATATTTTTTCTGAACTTGTTCTTAAGATATAAAACATGTTTTTTATTTTTGTATCTTTGTAACTGAATGATATTTCTATTTTTTTCTCAGGGCAAATGTGGAATTAAAATGAACAATTCTAACCTTTCCAGTCCAGGAAAACTCTCTTTAACCATAATTGTGTGTGTAACTTCTCAAGCATGTGTGAGTAAATTAATATTATTTTGAAATATATTTGTGTAGAATTTTTTTATTTGCTTCGAAATTCATAAAGGTATAAATATATGCTTTTTCCTTCGGTTTGATAATTTGATGTGAGAAAACTTAATATTTCTTATGAACAATGTGCTCTTATATTTAACATAAATAAATCATAAAGTTTCCAAATAATGCTAAAAAAAAGGCATTTGTTTTTGAACCCTAAAAGAATATCTTGAAATGCCAATTGGTATTTTTATTAACCTTTTACACGCCAATTTTCCGAAAAATTTAATTTTATTCATATTGTTCCGTAAAAATTATTTTGAACACAAAAAATATGAATTAATTTTTTGAAATTGAAGTATTGTGTTGCTAAAGTAAATAGTCTCTCTGAGAAAAGACTCTAAAGTATGCATTTTTTTCTACTTTTGATCGGGCAAAATTTCATATAAAATTCTAAATTTAAAAAAATATTTTTATTGTTTGGTAAAAGCAATTAAAAATGATCATTTTAACTATAGACTGCAAGATATCACAAAAAAATGTTATTATATTTTAACACGCTTTTATAAGTTTCACTTGCATGTAATGGAATCTTGGCTCTCGATTTTTACCCACTTTAATTCAAAATCCGATTAATTCGAAATTTTGTACACTTGTCAAGGACCGATGACAATACAAAAACTTCATAATTTTTTTCCATTGTCCTTATCAGGATTGTCAGGAATAATGATAATCAGATTTGGCGACTAATTCCATATACCATTTCCAGATTTGGCGACTAATTCCAGATTTATCGACTAAAAGAATAAGGTGTAACCCTGAAAGCTAATTGTATGCTAGTGTAAAATACACTACTGGTAAAAACAAACAAAATAAGTGTTCTTTATGTGTAAAAGCGGAGGGTGGGTGTGTGTTAGCAATTGCTTACCATAATATAAACATTTTTCTGAAACTGAAAATAAAAAAGGCTTGTGCATGTGAAAAAAAAAAAATTTATGTTCTAACTGCTAAATATTTTTTATTTTTATAAAGCAATATGCTTAGAAGTGATGATACAAATTAACATTATAGCAATACGTTTAAAAAGGGATAATATGATTGACGCTTAATATTACCATGTTTTTATTAACTCGCTTTCTTGAATGTCTGTCCGGGTGGAAATTTGTAATTGATTTTAAACTGTGTGTCTTTCTGATAAGAGCTAGACTTAAAAAATTTGTACCATAGCTCAGAAGTGGATGACAATGCATGAAAATGTGAAAAAGGGTGGAGGAAACGGAAAGGTGGAATTTTATACTTTTTAGTCAGTTATTACATGGTACATTAAAATTTCTTTTTATTCGAACTTTTTCTTCTTAACATATTTTTATTTGTTTGACCTTTTTTATACAGACGGAATATAATATAACCATACGAGACTCATCCGAGGCCCCTTAAATGGAGAGAATAAATACACTTTAGACCCTTTAATTAATATCCATTGAAGAGCAAGACTTATTCCTGCAGCCACGTAATTCCAGCTCCAAATATCAAACTCAAGGATAAATTCAAAAATGAACAAATACTACGTAAAAAAACTAAAAAACACGTTTTTATTGTAGATCAAACTAAAAAATGAAAAATAAATTATAGTTGGAAAAAAACTAAAAAATATACTTTTACACTGAATTGAACTAAAAAGTAAAAAAAAATAATTCTTAATATAGGAATAAAATGATGAACGAAAAAATTAATGCCATTGTGGTAAAAGTGTGGGGTGCTTTGTACTAAATTTTTACACTAACTCAGCATTTTGAAATAGAAGTTAGAAATTATAACAATTGAAAAATTTATAGAACACCCCACGTTTTTACCTCAATGACATTAATTTTCTTGTTCATCATTTTATTCTTATATTAAGAATTTTTTTTTTCCTTTTTAGTTCGATTGATATTTGTCAATTTCCCCTAGAAGAAAGAGGGTGTTTGTGACTGACAAGGAGGATATCGATGAAGATACTTTTCAGTCTGTTCTACCAGTAGATGTGTGTGGCAAAATCAAAATTACTGCAAGCATAGATGAGGATGAAATCAAGGCCATCTGAATTAGATGGTTTTGATGAAATACCTCATATATATCAGAAAAGCACGACAAAAAAATGCCTTGAGTGCAAAAAAAAATTGCTTGAGAAATGTTTTCCTAGCTATACATGGACAATAAAAATAGTTTAGGACATAAAAGAACACCTATAAGAAAAAACAATAATATATTTTGTCTTTATTTCTCATTTTAAAGAATTTTGGTAAATCTGTACTTTTCTAGTTTTTTTTTTTTTTTTTCGCTTAATAAAAACTATTAGCTTTGAGAATTTTGATATGAAGGTTACTTGTTAATTTCTTTGTCCTACTGATGTTTTCCTTTATTGTTTCTAATAAGTGATTGTGTAATTTTGCTGAAA